ATTACATTGAGTAAAGTGAACCACATTAGCCACATACGTATATGCTCCGGAAGATTTTAAGCACTCTGTATTGTATATTTGCAAGATTCTCAAAAATTTCATATTGAACCGGCTGTGGTCGAACAAAATAAAGTCGTCTTTTTTAGAAAGAATTCGCCGAACACATCATGGTTTCATAGTTATGGCTTTAAATTCTCGTGTAATTTGATGTGTCGCATCTGGATATTGATTTAAAAAGGATTTACCACACGGGAAAAAAAGAGTTCCCATATTCGTGAACCACAGCCGTGAACCATAGTTCACGGTGTATATTTGAGACAATTTTGTTCTGGATAGCTGGCCGTGATTTTTAGTTCACGGTCCGTTCCCGTTTTCGGGAACGGATTTTTTTCCGAGCACTGCCCCGGTATCCGGAACTTGTCCGGGTGTGGAGCAGATTACTCATCATGACTCCTATTGATCTTATTTTTGAATGTGTGAATTAATGTGAATTGATTTGTCGCATGATGGGTTGGGCACGTTTTTGAAAATTTCTGGTCTTAAACACGTACTTGCCGGAATATGTCCCAGCCATAGCTCCGGAACCAGCGGGAACGTTTCCAAAAACATTCAATGGCGTTCTATCGGAAATATTCCAAAGATACCATTCTAATGTGCCATACTACGCTAAACTAATATAACATCATATAGACTGACTTGCGGTTATTTTTATCTTTGAAGTGAATTGTAATCGCAAGTCAACTCTTTCAGATTTTGTTCATAAAATAAAATGTCAAAATATTTTATCCAATACTTCTTACTGAAAATCAATTCATTCTATCACATTGCACGTTTGTTTTCAAAATTATCCCTCCAAAATAAGGTGGTATGGGAAAACTTGCATAATCTTTGAACTCAGTTTTGTCATTCCCTGTGTTTTACATATGGGGCTGACTTGCGGTTGTGCTCATGGTTCGATTTAAAAAAAAAAGCAATTGATCTACGTTGCAATAACTCACAAGATTAATGTGATCATAAAAATTACATGAGATTTTCGACATTTTTTCACTGGGATGTAATATTAAATTTTATTTTTTGCTACTCTATTTTCATAGAAGGAATTCCAAACAGCAGCGTAACACTATAAAGTAGAGCATATTAGAAGCTATTATTTAGCAGCTAATACGACATGACAGCATTAAGTTTTGATTCGTAAAGTGGTCATTTATGTGGATCTTTCGAATGAGCAGCTGATCACATCAACAACCCAGATTCATGTCACAATCCTAAATTCACACATTTATCTCGACTCCTGTTATTTAACATCAAATCACAATGTATAATGATTTGATTCTTGAAGTGCTAATTGAAGCTGAGACCCGCAACTTTTTGGTCGAGGATCTTAAAAATTCATTTCATTCGTACTTATTCGATAGCTGCCATTATGAACTCTCGTTAACTAGACACACAAAAAAAAACCGTTCCAATATTCGTTAACAAGAAATCACGAAAACTGAGTTCAAAAATGAGTTCTTACGAGTTCGAATTATTTCCCATGAATGTGATCGAGTAAATCGAATTTTCATTAATTGAATCTCAAATCCGTGGTGTGTTCAGTGCTCATGAACATGGATATCATCAAAAACTGCAGCTGTCATTTACAGGTTCCCGAGCAGGAGAAAATAACGAATGAATACCTAATTCTGATCTGATACCATAATTTGGTATTGGCCAGCATGACATAAGAGGTAAAATACCAAAGAATAATACCGAAAAATTGCATGAAAAATACTTTGTAAATAACAAAAATTGATATTTGGATACCAAAAAAGTAAAGTCGGTGTACACTGAGTTACGCCAAGAGAAAAACAGTTTAGCTCGCATCACGGTTTTCGAAAGATTCTCTTTCTTTTCACTTGGCAACAGAGGACTTCTACATCAACTTCAAATGACTTATAGCCATAAATAAAAATAGCGGCTGTAGTAAATCATTATATCAGTGATTTTGTCAAATTATCTAAAAAAAAAAGAGTAGAAATTCTGATTACTGGTCATTACTAAACGTATCCCATGACAAGTTAATGCTCACTGCGTATTTATGATCATTTCTTCATTTATATTTTATATTTTATTGCAATACCTTTCGTGGACCTTTCATAGCATCGTAATATTTGTTTACTTTGCTCGATAGGTAGCCGGTTTGACAGTTCAATAGGTAGACTTGGCTTCACTCTTGGCGTGACTCATTATACACCCACTCTACAAAAAAGTACCTGTGTGGTATTGCATTATCATGATTTGGTATTGGAATGGTATTGAGTAAACATTGTTTTGGTATTATTTTTTGGTATTTTACCTCATATGTCAGGCTCATCCATACCAATATTGAGATATTCGATCCTGCTCGAGTTGTTGTGAAGTTCATCATGCTGGTCGAAATCCTCGAAGGAAAGGGTGAAAACCAGTGATCATCCTGTTCCTAAGCGAGAAAGCGGTACCAATTGTGGAGAAAACTTTGAAGATTGTCCTAAAGGCGGTGGGTATGTTTTCCGCTAGTTTGGACCCTAGAAAAGGCATGGGAGGGAAGGTGAGCAAGCACCGATTCGGCTAGCATCGGTGAAGATAAGATCAGTGTTTGTTGCTTGTTTTGATGATGAAGAAGGTGGTGGTAGCTGCGTTCATGGTGTCCGAAGATCCGTTGAATTGATTAGCTTAAAGTGTGTCAACTACATCCGTTGGACAGCTGCTTGCTGCCAATTTGGGGTATGGGTGAAACCTGTATTGTTCGGTAGTTCCCGCCAAGCCTTCCGTGGTTTTCTGTTCCATCCACTTTCATGCTGTACAATCCAATCAAAACATTGAAATTATTTTAATGTTGACGTTTTCGAGAACAGGTTCACGATATTAAGCAAAACTCATGAATTTTAATCACGTTTACCAGAACAAGATCATGATTGTCAGAACAGAGCTCACGTTTCTATGACTTTTGTAGCCTTTGCTGGTGCCCGGTGCAACGTAACGCAGACGTTATGTTTATTTTCATGATTTTTATTTATGGAGTACTTTCGTAAATGAAAAATTAACTTGAATCCGAAAATCGTGACTGGAGGTTGACGAATTATGGAACGGATTTTTTCCCGTGTAAGCAAACATTAGGTTTTTAGAGATTTATTAAATTCAATCATCCAATATTAAAACCTCGAAAAACTAGTGGGCGAGATTTGCTCAGCTCCAACTTCAGTTAACAATGTGTAATTCACAAATTTACCACGAGTAGTAGGGTAAACGTGCCAGTTTTGGCGCTAGTGCTCCAGTGTGTGGCCATAGGGCTTAAACAAAATTTGAAATAAAAAAATATATTTATATGTACATACAGTGATGACCCCATTTTGTCAGCCCTCTTTTTGAAAATCTTTTCTAATGTTCTACGAAACGCATGCACTTTTTCAGTGGTCTTATTGCACTAAAATATACCTTAAACATCCATGATGCATGAGAAAGATTTAATATTAGGAAATTATTGGAAAATAAAAACCTGACAAAATGGGATCATTACTATATACTACTTTGTGTGGAAATAAATTTAGAAGAATGAAAACATATGAAAATTAAGATAGGGCCAACTAAACGACACTAGTGCCAAAAACTGACACACTTATCCTATTGATTTAAAAAATGAGCGTTATGTGCTCTGCTTCGTGAAGTGGCGGATGTTCCAGATCTTTGAAAACAGCTCTTGACCATCCTAGATCTAGATCCATTTTACAGTTCTAGTATGTACCACGAGTGCTATTGTTTTGACCAAATCAGGACAAAAAGCGTCGGATTTTTGAAGTAGTCATTTCCACAAATGGTCCGGATCGTCTGGAAGGCCAGTTAGTGTCCATTCAAGGTCTTTATTCAGTTTGCAATGTTAAGTTCTCACATTTACCACGATCCCTATTGGTTTAATAAAATGTGTTAATTGTCGTATTAGAAGCTAGATAATAATTTCATTCATCGAATTATGTGTTGAAAATAGTAGGATACTTTTGTTTATGGCCGTAGGTATGCAAAGAGATAATCGACGAAGAGAATCTATCAATGTATCTTAGGACTGATCGATTTTTCAATTGTTTGACCTGTGTGAACATATTACTGTGCAATTACTTGTCACACATGCATGTACAATAAAAAAAATGAATTGTTCCGTGCTTCAGAACTGCACGTAACATCGAATTATATCTGTATTTTAGTTGTTTTCCTAGAATAGATATTGCGGAAAATTATCAACGAACCAAAACGTTTAAATCATTGCGGCCTATTCAAAACTAGATAGACGATCATAAAACGGACCAAATAGTTATGAATACCCTGTGCTACCAAAGGAAAGAAAGAGTTAACAGGCATACTCTAATAGTAAAAGTATCTATACTATACACTATAAGGCAGCAGAAAGCATTTTCATCTCAATACAAAATCGCCTTACCGTACTCTAGAATGATTGCATATTAAAGAGACGGTGTACTAAAGCTTTAAGTGCTGCTTTGAGCATAACTTTGGGCACATCAGTCTAATCTTAAAGCAACTGGTCGAAACGACAACCAAACTTAAAGCAGCATCCTTCGCGTTGTAAACATAGAAACGAAGCTTCGGGTTCGGTGCCCGAAGATGTCTCGTTTTGCCGGTTTTCCATGGAAACCGTCGGAAGCAGCATGCAATGTGTTTATTCGCTCCCACTAAGGAGCATTTTGACAACAACCATCTCGCTGCACTGTTCTATTTACAAAAATAAACCCGCATCCTGGCATTATCCTCCAGTTTCCGTAACACTCGGCAGCCATAGACCGGTGAAAAACAAACCGAAGCCATCATGTGCTCGTTCGGCTTTGTGAATGAACGCACGTGGTTTTGTTTACTAACATATAACCCGATTTCAGTGCGCATACTCGGCTTTGTTGCAACTTTCATGAGCAAATTCCGAAATCTGAAAGATAAACGACGCCAGTTTGCATCAGCTTTTTCCATAGACTTTTCTCATTTCTGCTCTGCCAAGGAATCAGTAACCATCTCCGGGAGCTTGGAACAAAATGTCGCTGCACATTCTGAGTCGTTTTAGTGCAAATTAATTCTTTTCAAATGTGAATATTTCCAGGTAATTTTTGAGTTAACTGTTGAAAAACGTAATTTGCAATCGTTTGTTATCATTTTCGGGCGGTTTAGTGCGGTTTATGCGTGTGAAAATTGCGATTGAAAATTCGGGTGGAGTACTGATCATGGATGACAAAGTGGCGTGAAGATTTAATGAAAATTAAGATAAAACTCAAGAAAACGGGAGCACATTATGTAATAATGTAACAAATCTCAGTCTAAAGTGCTCCGAAGATCATTTCCTACCAATTGTGCAAGCTTTTAGTGGATTTTTATGCTGAAATATGGTGGAAAATTGCAATTTACTGCGATGTAAGAAAAAAGCATGATGGCGACATATTGGAATTTTCTTCCGTTTGCTTTCCGCTGTGTAACACAGCTTTCAGTGGGTGGAACGTGTAATAATGGATACGAAAAATCTTTTCCTGCTGTGGTGCTATCTGTCGTGCTTTGTGGGTCGATATGCGATGGTCTATGTGGATATTATCCTTTATAGATGAGTTGGGTAATGATTGGTGTGACGAGGAATGAAGTGTCCATATAGAAAATAGGTGGTGAAACGTGATCAGTGCTGAATGGATAAGATAAATTCGCATTGTAATCAAGTGATGATAAACAAACTAGTGAAAAATGTACATCGTGAAGCGGATCAGACAGATTACTGAAACAAATTGATATATATGTTACATCACGTTTGGGATTAAAATGATAACATTATTGTTATCAAAAGAAATAGCAACTGTAGCATAGGCTCACTCTTAATCGTTAACAAGTATTGTTACGGGATGAGGTTTTCATACTGTTACAGCATTTAGCGATTGGGTCAATATTATCTCTGTATATATGAACAACTTGCAGTCAATTCTGCTGTGTTTGGATGTTACCTAGAGATATGCAATTGTAATTTTGATCTGCTGAGAAAATTAGGAATATTCTCAACAATTAATTAGGAAGAATAAGAATTTTATGAAAAGCTAACTCATAACAACTGAATGATTCAAAAATAAATGTTCCCAAAATGTTCACACCTACGACGAATTCTTCGCACCTTTTATTGTGGTGTGAATTTATTGTTCAGCTTATTAAGCAGGAATAAACGTTGAAGCAAAATGAGCATGGGATAACTATCATACTTTATACTTGATGGGCTACAATCCATTGTTGTCAACCCAGCGTTGAAATTAAAATTATCCTTTTGTGGTCTTGATTATCAGTCAATCTTTTCCAGTAGCCATGAATATAAATATCCTGTAAAAAAAGGCGTGACCGGCGTCTTCGTTGGAGTCTGATCGAGGATTGATTCTCTTGCCTATTTTGCGGCATCCGTGCTGTACAGCAAAAAGTAAAATACATCAGCACAATATAATGTTGCAAACCAGCAACAAACAGAATGAATTTTTTCACTGATTTATTGAAAAATAAGTCCTTCAAAAAATGAACTTCAAATAGGCATTCCTCGTGTGAAATTTAAGTATTAGTTTAAGTGATTTCAAATGAGCGCCATGGGTTGAACAGCTGAAGAAAAACTACTGTTGTGTGTGTGAACAGTAGAACTTTTCGGCGCTGGGAGCTGAAAAGTAGTACTTTTCGACACTGGGTATTTTTTGAAAAGTTACACTTTTCTGCACTGAGTGCCAAAATAGTTATGTATGCAACAAGTTACAAAATAAAGATGAATTTGGCAACGAGTTGCATACATTTTTAAAAAAATTCGCATCATTATACCTGCTGCATAAGTAGCATGTAATTTTCTTGGATTGTTGATACTTTTTCCAATATTTTAAGAAAAATCTACAAGTGCCAGAATAAAAAACCTGATTTTTTTTCCAAATAATTCAGTTTTGAAAAATACTAGATTCTTGATTTGAAATGAGAAAATGAGAAATTTTATAATTTCAGATTTTTTACGGAATTCCACGATCCAGGACTCTCTTTATGTCAAGTTCAAGGCAGTAGAAATTAGAATATAATAGAATTGTACCATCTTTTAATCTCATATAATTGCAAACTTTTTATTATTTTACTCATGAGAAGTTCTATCAAAATTAATCCCTAAATTAATTAAGGGGTTACGCCTACCTGCAATGTGTCGTGTGTTCGATTTGCGCTCTATCGTTACGTCCGTGTTTGGGATTTTTCGTTACATGTCTGAATTTTGATTTGACTGAATTGACCCTCAATATAGAAATTAAAGACGTAGTCCTACGTCAAAATGGATTCATATAAGCATCCAAAAGAGAAAAAAAAATCATGGGAACTGCCCGGTCATGCGAAAGTTTGGATTTTTTTTTTTCTCGAAAACGACGCAACATATTGAAAATCGGTTTTCTGCCGTTTATTGAACACACATCAAATGGTACATTTATCAGTCGATGCTGTAAAAACGAAGTCCTGGTGCCCCGCACGGCTGCTCCCCGTGGACGATGTTCTAAAAACTGTTTTTGCGGTGCCAACTGCGGTTTGTGATGTAATCATCTGAAATAAAAAAAAAAAACCATGCCAAATCGTTAAGCATGTGTTAAACTAGTCCTTGATCGTTTGGTTTTTTTTAAATTTTTTTGACAAAATGGCGGCCTTGCTAAGCTGAAGTGCCGATTTTTGATCCTTTAAATTTGTCTTTGATCGGCTGTAAAAAATCGAAATTAAATGATAGACGAAATCCGAACGATCGTGGACTGCACAAAATAGTACTGAACAGAAATCAAAGCGAATCGGACGAATCGAATGTATACATATCGAGAAATTTTTGACACCGGTTTTGAAAATACGATTCCGAGATAATCGCGTTTAAAGTTTCAAGTTGGGTTTAGTCCACTATAAGTGAATATTTTTGTACGTCGCATAACTTTCACAATTTTCATCGGATCAACTTGATCTTTTGAGGAAATATTCTTGACTTTATATACTTTCGATTAGGACAATAAAAAAAATCGATTTTTGAAAGTTTGCAGGTAGGCGCAACCCCTTAAAGATCATGGTGGTCACCTATTACCAGCTAAACATACTCATTCACAAATAATTGTAAACATAACAGGAGATTATGTGTGTCCACTCTCCCCTACATATCATCAGAAGGAGATGAGGGTGGATATCGCTTGCGAATTGAATATGGTTCGCAATGGCAATTTGATGCCTAAACGTCATTAGCCAAGTATTGTGTAACCAATATCCCATGGACGCATAACTGTCCCATATACGTATGAAACTCTATAGCTCATGGGACAACTATGCGCCCACCACTAGTAAAGGTACCCGTAATACGTAGGTAATGCGCTCGTGTACAGAATGGGATTTGTGGGTTCATTTTTTCACGATATTTCCTTACACACATACAGTGCTGTTAATTTTCATATCATTCGATTGAAGATGAACCAATACAACCATTCAATCAATTCTGCAAAAAAGAATTTTCTCATACCCATCATTTGAAGGGCTAGCTGTGGTGTAGTGATTTCCTGTCACCCCAGCAGGCCTGGATTCAATCCCAGTCGGCACCGTCAGGATGTTCTGAGGCATAACATCTCTAGGGGAGGTAAGTAAAACCGTTGGTCCCTGGTTCATGAGTTGATAGGTCTATAGGTAGGGTCCAGGTGTAGGAGCTGCCTCCCTAGCGTCGGTATCATTGGTGCTCAGCACGGAAAACAAATCAAGAGAAATTTAAAAAAAATCATTTGAAGAGCCAATTTATCAAACGAACCTCATTGCCACTGTCAATTGAGTCACTAGGCACGAGTCATTGTGTATGGAAGAAGTCCAGAAACCCGATGTCAGATCAATGTAAGACCCAATGTCTGGTCGATGTCGAATAAATTTCGGATTATGTCGGGTAAATTTGGTGTCGAATTGGCATGGCTTTTTCGCCGAAATGTCGACCAGAGCTCTGTTTGTATGTAGGTTACATTCAATGGAATGATATCAAGCATTTATCAAATTACCATTTTGAGGAAGTGATAAAATATTGTGGAAGTGACAAAATATCCAATTGTTAACTGTTTCTTAGCATCCTATTAGAATCAGCATTTAATCCGTTCCTATGATCGATGAAATAACATATTTTTCTAAATTTTGGGTCGCTGAAATCAGATTTTGCTAAAACGCACGATTTCGACTACATACATACCCGGAGAACTTTGAGATTTGGGCGTAAATGCTTTTGTAAACAAACATGTCAATCGCTGATTTCTCAAGAATAAAAGAACAATCTCGTGAAAAAACCAAATGATAGAGCAACCATTCATCTACCTGTTTGTGTTGTTAGTTTTTGAGATTGAACTTTAATTCGCGAGAAATCGTCAAATGAAGTGTTTGTTTGCATAATCTCGAAGTTCTCCGGATATTTCATGTGAAAAACTGATGATCATTGCCTACATTTAGGCGTATTTTTAGTTTTGCAACAAAATACGTAAACCACAACTTTTGTTAAAATGTCAACATCAGATTCCTGTTCAGCAAATACAAATCAGATTTAAATGCTTTTTTTTTTCTTGATTTGTTTTCCGTCGAACTTGTTTTCCGTAATGAGTACCAATGCTACCGACGCCAGGGAGGCAGCTCCCACTCCTGGACCCTACATGTCGACCCATCAACTCATGGACCGGGGACCAACGGCTTTATACGAATTTCTGAACAATAATTCGTATGCCTCAGAACATCCCGTCGGCGCTGACTGGGATTGAACCTTTTGCGGTGAGAGGCAATCACGCTTACCACTACTCCACCGGCGCCGCTATATTAGCAATTTATTATTCTTGAAAGATTACATAAAAGTAAAGGTCAAAATTCAATTATTATTGAAGTGGTCATCAAGAATAAATTAAAACAAATTTGAAATCTTCTACCAGAAAACAGTGAAATTAAAATGGCTTTGAGTTATTTTGTTGATTAATGTATTTTGGGATCATGATACCCCTCTCTTAACTGATATCCATCTGTAGGACAATCACACAAACAACACAAGCTGATTAATATCTGATTAATAGCCCTGATGATGATCCCAGCCCCAGTTGCTGATGATAAAACTGTAATCAGCGCTTGTTCTTCAAGACTGAGAAACCGAAATAAAAATATTAATTTTAAGTCATGATTATGAATAAGTGTTACTTAACTTATGTTCCTAGATCAAATATTTTAAACGAATTATGTCAAATACTAATAATGTAAATAACAGGCGCGTAATTTGCATGGTTTGTCAGGAGCGCTGCCAACCCTAACTACGTCTCTTGACTCACCACATATAATTTGTTCTTCGGAAGTTCGGCGATGCAAATTTTAATAAAAATTGCCAAGATTCGGAAAGCAAAACGAAGTGTATAGGGAAGAATAGTCCATAATGCACCCTGGGGTAAAATGGACCCGCGCCATTTTTCGCTGCTTTGCCATTATACATTCTGGAATCTAATGTGTCAGAATGCTATAGTCAGTGTTGGCAAAATCAGAAATCAATTGATATTTTTCCGCTCTCATGCGCTCGCAATATCACGCGTGATATTGGAACAAATTATCATGCTTGATATTGATTTTACAAACTCCTTTGATATTGCGAGACTATTCACAACGTGCAAAAATCAAGCTGAGCGTTGACTCGACACAAAAAAGGTTCCATTGCACATCGTTTTTTTAGAAAGAGAAAGCATAGTTTGCTATCTCTTTTTAATCTTCACCCATGGCAGATGCGAAGGGACTGCTGTAACCCGTTATGGAAGTTGCGGTTGCATTCGGGTGTAAAGCCAGAATCATTAAAATCCCTCTCACCACAGTTTGGTGAGATTTGCAGTTGGTGAGTTTGGTTAGCTTGATATTCCGAGCTGCGATATCACAGCTTGCAAAATCAACCGCAGTAGTTTGCTTGTTGATTTTTATCTACGAAAATCAAGCGTGATCTTGAACGTTGGTGAGATTTAATTTTTTGATATTTTCGCAACACTGGCTATAGTTAAAATACTTAGCGAGCAGCATCGTTAAATTCACGAATTAACAATCGGAAAGCTATGAAAAACATCGCGGGTCATTTTAGCTTTTTAGACCACCAACCATACACTATGTATGCCATTAATGATCGATCAAATCCAACTAGTGCCTGAAAATATCGACATAACGTTTTTTTTTTTGCAACAGCAAAACTTTCCCCACACACCGTACCGCTTCAACATACCGTAGAAGTTAGATTTCACTGGGACAAAATTTCCATAAGAAGTCAATCGTTCACTAACGTGAAACTGCCTTCGCTCATTCTGTTTCTAAATCGACTCCATCTAGCTTGCAACCATCCAGCCGGCAACTACGACTACCACTACTATAAGGGCTGCTCTTCCAAACTGTTGCTTTGTGCCACTAGTCTGCCATTCAAGACAACATGGCAGCTGCCAGTGACACCACAAATCCAATGGACGAGGGACTACAGGACCTTGGAGTGCCGGTGCCGGTGCAAACGTTCCTCTGGCAACAGATAGCTCCGTTCATCCGGCCAAAGCTAGGCAAATCACATGAAGCTAGCTGCATGGTAAGTTTCTACGTTTCCTTTACATGCTTTTTTCAATATGTTAAATGTGTTATTCCTCTACAGTTCATAACAGATGTGAATTTTGTTTTTTGAGCCAAAACCAACAATAACAAAATTATGTGATAGGATTCCAAAAACATTGGAATCAAATCTGCTATAAATTGGAGCTTTTCATTGACAAATCGGTTAAGTGTGCCGTGTGAAGTTATAGCTGTATATTGCGCCTGTCTGTGTGCGATTTCATTGTCTGTCTGTCCTCTGACGTTTATCAATAACTGACTCTAATTACTACCTTGATTTTTATTAATCCAGCTAATCCCAAAACAATTTAAAATTCCGTGAGTTAACTTAATTCTCAATTTGCGATCACCAAAGTAAACAGCAGTCAGGCAACGTATCTGTACGGTTGTATGCATCCATTACTAACGATAACTGCCATTAGCATCCAACAACAAACGGCTAGTCCAGGGTGTAGGCTAAAAGGATTCAACAGAACCAACGCTCTTTCGATGCTTTCCTCGTTCGACGGGAAATATAGTGCCGACGGGTGTTATTATTTGATTATTACCACTTCACACTCTGCTTTCATGTCGTGCCAACAAGTTCTCACATTCGCTTCGACCCGGAATAACGCTCGCTGCCAAGTCGTCTTTCGATTGGAATCAGTTTCGCGCAAAATTTATAGGTCATGTTTATGATGATCCTATCTGCAGGCGAAATTAGAATGTGCCTCGTAAATCCATTTTTTTTTCATCATTATTCAACCCGTTAAGATTAATTTGTATCTTCCGTTTGGTTTTATTCATTAACTGTATAAATGGTTATCTTAAACTGTATTTGTAAATAATAACTAAATGTATTTTCTTCCAAACAATGTTTTTTTCTGCTTTTCCTACTCTCTATGCGTCATCTGTGCATAAAACAATGTTTCAACAACATCACTGTACTCGTTTAAAATTTTGTTCATATAAAACAATAACTGTGTGTATAGTATTGTCAACATGCACCTGGACATCATGTAAGTGTAAATAATGTGCCGTTTTTTGCTATCCGTACCCGTTCAATAATCTTCTATAAGTGAATACTTGATATCCCAAAATGGAATGATGCTTCCTTGATTTAATCAATTGTTTTATTTGTGCTATCCTCATGATTTTTTTTTTTCATTATTCGTTAGAGCTTTAGTATAAGGTCAAAATTTTAAAACGAATTAGTACTAAATAGCACATAGTAACAAAAACATGACCCTAAAAACTGCTAATAAAGGTTGACCCATATAGATTGAAAAAAAAAGTATCTGGCCAGTTTTCTTTGGAGCACGAGCACCAGACTGATGAATTGGACATTTTAGATCCACAGTGCTCAAACGGTTCCAAATTTGATTTTGATTAGCCTCCCAAAATTTGAACTCATTTAAAAAACTGACTAGGCACAAACCAATTGAATTTTATATAGAATTTACTATGGGAAAACCTAATGTTTTGTTCAGGGGCTGGGGGGTTGACAATTATCCACGGACAATTGTCTACGCAGGGAGAGGGGGGGGGTCAAGAATCCCAAAAAAAAAATCGTCTACGTAGTTAATGAACAGTCTCTAATATCTATCTCAAAACTCACGATTTCACTCTGCTTTAAAAAATGTTAGCTGTGCTGGTTGGAATTTTATCAGGTACAACTTTTTTCAAAACCACTTTTCGATCAAATGTAAGAAAAAAAAGTTATTAATGATTCAAGTCACTGATGTCTTATTATTATGCTCAATCAACTGTTCAGCAGGCAACATTGGTGTTTCTGATGCGTAATAGAGTACATAAATCATGGCTACTATGTCACACTGCAGAAAACAGTGTTTCTCACAATACAGCTGCTTGACGTATTAACATAGATAATCAGACGTAACACTTTGAATAAAATTATGTTCAAACATAGGACTTCAGTAACGACAACTCGCGGGCTTCTCGCGGAAAATAAGCTTGCTTGCTGATTCGCAAACAATGTTGCATGCAAGAAAAACCGAATATATAGAAACGTCAAAGTGATCCGATGCCAGCGCCATAACATTCAAACCAATCGTTAAATGCGCAAACGATGATCCAGAATGAAGCGATACGTCTGTTTGTCGGTGGTAATAAGATTATCAATCTCTTAAACAATTATTAAATATTTAATTTTAGTTTGGCTGAAAAACGGTTTTCTGCAAAGTTGTAGCTGAGAAAATTTCCCAAAAGAATGACTATAGAACTTTTTAACAGTACAATATGGAAAAAGCCTTGAAGACAATGAACCAAATGTTTGGTTTTCCCATAGTAATTCCCACATAAACATCAGATGATTTGTGCCAAGTCGGCTTCTTACCAAATGAGTTTAAATATTGGGAGGCTAATCATAATCCGATTTGGAACCGTTTGAGCACTGTGGAGCGAAAATTTCAAATTTTGCATCAGTCTAACGAGCACCTTACCTTACCACTAACCATACATGTGTGAGACAGTTTGTTGGGCTATTTCTTCGAAGACAATCGGTCTAAAGGGAAAATGTTGTCGGAGTGTTCAAAATAGACAAATTGTGTAAGAGATGTAAATTTGAACAATGAAAAGAAAATATGCGTCCCACCCATTATGCCCTTCCAGCATTAGTGACACCTTGAATACTGGAATCTCCATAGAGTTTGGCCAGCTCGTGGTTCATTTTGCTTCTTGATACGCCGTTTTTATACACTGGTGGAAATTAAAACAATGGCACTTTAAAAAGCACGGCTCCTCGCAACTTTAAGAATCAGAGGAATTCTAAATCATGTGTGTTACAAGCCACATTATAATGGTACAATATGAACCAAAGAAAGAACCAATTGCATATTTTTTACAATTAGATTATTTACGAGATGTAATGTCAGCCTAGCCCCTCACCTCGACCTATCAAGCAAATAACTAATTTATTCAGCAATAATACACATTAGTAAAGGAAAACTAATACCCCATCTGCTCTGAAATTGTAATCCGTAATAAAATTGCCTAGTTTTGGGACAAATTTAGTATATTTATTGCTCTTTTTTAAAGAAAAACATTAGTGAAATTTTCATATTTTTCGATTTCTATACGCCATGATCTTGCCGTTTTATTGCACTAACGAAAATCTAAACAACGGTGGTCATCAAAAAACCTGATAATTTCATGAATTGAAAGGACTTACCTTTTTGTAACATGCTAGCCTAATAAAACAATGTCAACTTTATATTGGTATTGGTGAAACCATTTGCGTTGACGACGACTCTGCAACTCTTTACTCCCATAATCAAATGTCAGTTTCGAGAAACATAGCGGATAGTTTCTTTACCCTTACACTCCACTGAAAATCCGCGTCGAAACGATACGTGAATACGCGTCTACCAAGCTTCTGTAACTTTTTAGCCCGCAGGGTAATCACATAGAGTTCTCCAGATGCACAAAAGTGTGCGTGAGACCGCGCACTACCTACCTGTAGTTGTGATATCGCGATACCTTTTTGGTTCTTCTTCTTATTCATTTTTATATATGGATGGTGGATTTTAGTGTTCGTGAGATTGCGCTTGGAGATCTCTATAAGCAAACGTCACTGGAGACGTGAATCATGGCGACTTTTTCATATTCGGTCACTCTACCGAAAAATCCCGTAGCCAACTGTCAATATTTGCGTGAACATTCCATAGAGATTGCTAACATTTATCGTACGCACATCACGTATACGTATACGCAAAATGTTTTCATCGGGAAAAAAAACTTCATAGCGGAAAATTTTCCGATGAAGACAAATCACTGACACAATCATACTTTAGCAATCTGTATGTTTCTAACTATTTAACTAGTTTTCTAAAAGGGTTTATAGGGAGCTGCACGCTGACGTCACGAATAAATGCAATGAACTCCCGTTCATCGGTTTGACAGACAGCAGTGGTTTGTGGTGGTGTGGTAAACACCTTTATCTGTTAGTTGATTCAAGTGGATGCTAGTTTTAAAATTTTAATAACTATAAGATGTGTTATCCAACGATGTTCTTTTAACACTCCGAATACGATGCCTCCGAAAAATGTGTAACGGCAAGTTTGCAATGGCACAACTTAGCCATTTCTTAATGAATTTCAAAAATTATGGTGCCTTTAGAATTCCTAGGGTTTCCAGATGATTTTGATTGCAAAAAACTCAAAAATAGAGTCGTCTACTTTTTTAAAAAGCGAAAAGAGTTGTTACACGTTTTTTTGAAAGGTGTGTTTGTAGGGTTTTGCAAGTGGCGCAAGATCTGTAATTTAGATTAATGGGCACAAATGTTCACAATTAGCCAGAATACAGCCATGGTTCCTATATATGGATCCTGGAGACAACGGAACGGTCCTCGAAAAATCCGGAACATCCGTAAAAATTGTCAATCTATGATCCTGATCCTAGAGCTCTGCGGTTTTTTGGAAAACATTAGGAACTGTGATATAAACAAATATTTGGGGTCGTTACATAAACATGTACCTGGATGGCCATGGGACCATCCTCCGGAAGATCCGGAACATCCGTAAAAGTGGACAATCCATGAAACTGATCCTAGAGCTCCGTGTTTTTTTTTTAACATTAGGATCTGTGATATAAGAATGAATTTGGGTCATGGACCCAGATGGCCATGGGACCGTCCTTCGGAAGATCCGGAACATCCGTAAAAGTATTAAATCCACGATCCTGATCCTAGAGCTCCGCGTTTTTTTTATAAACATTAGAAACTGTTATGATAGAAAGAATTTGGGGTTGTGACATAAACATCAACCTGAACATCCATAGCATCTTTCGGAAGATCCGGAACATCCGTGAAAGTGGTCAAGCAATGAAAATGATCCTAGAGCTCCGCAGTTTTTTGAAAAAAAAAACTCTAAGAACTGAAATGATAGAATTAATTTGAGGTCGTGACCTAAACATGGACCTTGATGGCCATGAGACCGTCCTCTGGAAGATCCGGAACATCCGTGAAAGTGGAAAATTCTCGAAACTGATCCGAGAGCTCCGTGGTTTTCTTTAAAACGTTAGGAACTGCGATATTAGAATGATTTTGGAATCGTGACATAAACATGGACCCAGATGGCCATCGGAACGTCCTCCGGAAGATCCGAAAAATCCGTAAAAGTGGTCAATGTATGGAACTGATCCTAGAGCTCCATGGTTTTTTTTTCGAAAACACTTGGAACTGTCATATATAAATTAATTTGCAGTCGTGACATAAACATGTACCCAGAAGGCCATGGGATCGTCCTCCGCAAGATCTAGAACATCTTTAAAAATGGTCAATCCTTGAAACTGATCCTAGAGTTCTACGGTTTTTTCGAAAGCATGTGGAACTGCGATATAAGAAATATTTTGGGGTCATGAAACAAACTTGGACCCAAATGGCCATCCTCTGATAAGTTTTTTTTTTTTTTTTTATTATAGTCACTTTAACACTCTTAGGTCATTCGTGACTTGTCCGGGGGTGAGATTTGAACTCGTGACTTTGGCGTGAGAGGTATGGATGTTAACCACTACGCCGGGGTCATAAGCCCAGAACATCCGTAATAGAGGTCAATCAATGAAACTGATCCTAGAGCTCCGCATTTTTTTTTTCAAAAACATTAGGAACTGTGATATAAGAATCAATTTGTGGTCGTGACTGAAACATGTACCCAGCTTGCAATGGGACCGTCACTTGGAAGATCAACAACATCCGTAAAATGGTCACACCATAAAATTGAGAGGTGGAAGCATTACTATGACGAGCACCTCAACGGTGATGCAGCAGAAAACGAGGGTGGCACGGCAACAGTCCTTGGAGCACGCGCAGAAGACGACAGGCTTCCGGCCCCCTGATCTTCAAGAAGTTGAGGAGGAGATCGGTCGGCTGAAGAACAACAAAGCAACTGGTGTAGATCAACAACCAAGTGAGCTATTAAAATACGGTGGTGAAGCACTGGCTCGAGCGCTGCACTGGGTAATTGCCAAGATTTGAGTGGAGGGGATATTACCGGAAGAGTGA